AAAAAAACATATTAGATCTAACAAAAGGTCATCGAGTATCTGAATCCTATCGCCATGCCTTCCCCTTTTATGGAGGCGAATGTCGCTTCCATTCCGTATGTGGATCATTGGATGCTCGAAGCGCTAAACGAGGCCCAGTTTGCCTTGGACGAGCATGAGGTTCCCGTCGGGGCCGTCCTCGTCCCCCTCCCGGCCCACCAACTTCACGGGGAGGACGTTCGACGCGCGGAAAGTCAGGGGGATGGCCCGGATTCCCGCAGCCCCGCCGGGCCCGCGCTCGACACCCGGATGTGGGTTTCCCGGGGCCGGAACGCCACGAACCGCCGCCACCACGCCCTGGCCCACGCCGAATTTCTCTGCGTGGAAGGCCTGCTCCGCGGCTTGGGGGCCGCCGAGGGGGGGGGAGAAGGCGGGCCCGCGGATCTCTCGAATTACGTCCTGTACGTCACGGTGGAGCCGTGCGTTATGTGCGCCGCTCTTCTCCGCGATAACCGCATCGCGGCGGTGTTCTTCGGCTGCCCCAACCTGCGGTTTGGCGGGAACGGGTCGGTGTTGGCCCTCCACAACCCCAACCCCGACCCGCCCAAGGGGGGGGAGGGGACGGCAGAGCCGATCGGGGCTTCGCCGCCGCGGGGCTACCGAAGTGAGGGTGGCCACCGCGCTCAGGAGGCGATCGGGCTTCTGCAAAAATTCTACCTCAGGGAGAATCCTAATGCACCAGGTGTAAAGCGAAAGCGGAAGTTGTCAACACTTGCACGTTAGCCCCTTCGACATCGGGTGTGTGCATTACAAAGAATATTCAGAATTGAGTAAAAAAGCCACTCCTATTGTTTAGGCGTGTTGCTGTAAATATAAATACATAGATCCTTTATTAACTTGTGTATAAATTTCTCAGATGGGTCAAGAATGAAATACTTGTGACTCCGATTTTTCCTTTTTTTTTCTGAAGAGTAGTCTTTTAGCTGACAAAAAGATTAGCAGAAGACGTACTTATAAACCCCAAATAGTCCAAGGTCGATCCAATGAGTCTAGCTATCTTCAGCATGAAGGTGCTACTTGTTGTTTTTCTTCTCAACTTCTTTTTTTACACGGTGCGGTTTTGTTGCTGTGTAACCTTCACGGCCGTAAATCCCAAAACCACAGGAGCATTCCCCTTCAACTCGCGCTACATGCTAGAGGTAAAGGAATGTTTAAAACGGTACTGAAGCAAACTCAACGGCACAGCCGAAGTATAATAGAAATTATCAGAATAAGCGTACCAACGGACGGGCAATTGTGAGAATTCAACATAACCTTTGCACGACGCTACACGATGACTCTCGTGCAGTACACCAGGTACTCAGATGATGAGATTTTTTTATGGTCTTCGGTTTTATCAGGGTTGATGTTGCAGTATTTTTTTTTCTTATTGGCGTAATATTCATTGACTGTTCAGCTTTGTTGTGCTAATACTCACTCGCTGTGCAGCTTTGATCACTGTGGAGTAATGTGATAGAATTTTGTCTGTTGTTTGCTTTCTTTAGTTTGCATCTTGTTTAATACGGATGATGAGTTCCAAGTTAAAATTTAATTTTTTTTTTTTTATTGATATTAGTAACAAAATATTTTTTCATTATACATTTCATCTATCTTCTTATGTATGGAATAGCGAATTGTGCTTGCTGCTCCACGTTGAAATCCTTATCCAGTTTATTAATTTGCTCTCATTTCATCCATCTTTCTTTTTTTTTTGTCCCTTCGCCTTTACATAAAGATAAAAAGCTGCTAAGTT